CTTTTTTTATGTGTAGGGGGAACTTTCTTTACAACCTGTGTCTCCAAACAGAAGTGAAGAATATTGCACCATCTCTCTTATGTGAATTTATACGGAATTATGTTTCCTTTTGTCATTATTAAAATTTCATTCCTCAATGTAGACTGTACAGATCCTGGGCCTGCTTGCCCAGAGTCCTTCCACTCCTTTATTGTTTGCTCTGAGAGGTCACATGCTCTGAGTCCATGGAACAAATTTTCCCCTGGCTGTACACTTAGCAGCATTTAACTTATTTTTTCATAATCTTCAAATGATGTTTGCTGTGTCTGTGTACCATCTACCTCATAATTTACTTAATTTAACATTAAATTGACTTTTCTATTAAATAGATGTCAAAAATATGTAAAATATTTTCCTTACTTTAATAGTTACTATCAGTGGAACCATTTATATGTTATAAAATGTGTATTTGATGTGCAAGATATTTTTTCCTAATACAAATTAAAATAATGTTACGTATATAACAATCAAAAAGACCGTCTGTGTTCTGCCTAATGTGACCTCCTGTGTCAATCACACTTTAGAAAATATATTTCCAACTCAAGCCCCTCATTTGATAGATGAAAAAAAGCAGACTCCACAGGCATGGCATCACTTTACTCAAAGCATGTGTTGCAGTGAAATGGAAGCCTGGAGTAGAAGCCAGGCATTCTGGCCCCTTGTCAATTGCTTTTTCCATGAAAGATGTAAAGCGGGATTTGGTGTTTGAAAAAAGGAGTTGTGTGTTGTAACTTTAAACTAAATTACATTTTTATTACTTATATGTATATATAAAGATATAAGAAGATATATAAAGACATAAAACACCGAGAAAAATAGAACACACCTATAATTTCATAACCAAGAAATTATAGCTATTATTCTGTAAAAAATTTTTGGTATACATATGCAGCTATATTTTTCTATAAAAGTGGTTCATAATATATCCAGTATTTATTACCATGCTTGTTTTTCTCAACATTATGTTTAGGTGTCTTCATCCCAGGAAGCATATATTGAAGGCATAGTTTTATTTTATTTTATTTTTTATTTTTTATTTTTTTTGAGACAGAGTCACGCTGTGTCTCCCAGACTGGAGTGCAGTGGCGTGATCTCGGCTCACTGCAAGCTCCACCTTCCGAGTTCACGCCATTCTCCTGCCTCAGCCTCCTGAGTAGCTGGGACTATAGGCGCCCGCCACCACGCCTGGCTAATTTTTTGTATTTTTAGTAGAGACAGGGTTTCACCGTGTTAGCCAGGATCTCCTGACCTCGTGATCCACCCTCCTCGGCCTCCCAAAGTGCTGAGATTACAGGCGTGAGCCACCATGCCCGGCCTATTTTATTTTATTTTATTTTCAACCTTTATTTTAGATTCAGGGGGTAGTACATGTGCAGGTTTGTTACCTGAGCATATTGCATGATGCTGAGGTTTGGGGTATAAATGATCCCATCAGCTGGGTACTGAGCATAATACCAACAGTTATTTTCTCAGCCTTGCCCCTTCTCTCCTTCCCCCTCTAGTAGTGCTCAGTATCTATATGTAGTCTTTATGTCCATGTGTACTCAATGTTTAGCTCCCACCCATCAGTGAGAACATATGGTATATGGCTTTCTGTTTCTGCAATGATTTGCTTAGGAAAATGACCTCTAGCTGCATCCATGTTGCTGCAAAGGACATGATTTCATTCTTTTTTATGGCTGCAGAGTATTCCGTGGTATTTATGTATCACATTTTCTTTATCCAATTCACTTTTGATGTGCACCCAGAGGGCATAATTTTAAGTGATTGCCCGATTTCCATTATAGAGATATATTTTAAAAAATTAATCACTTTTGGTATTATTTCCTCTTATACAGTGTTATAGATAATGCTTCTTAAAAACATAATTAAATTTATAAGTTTAATGGAAATGGAGTTGCTTGAATAAAGGAGAACATATAACACTAAATGCCTAATATTCCTGAAGATTTATTTCACCACAGTATAATTTCAACAGCAGCACATGATGATGCTGATTTTTCAATACTTTATCAGTTATGACCGTTATTATCTTAAAGTAGCTTCCATTTTATTAAATAAACACTTTCATAATGTTTTAATTTTCTTTTCTTTTAATGTGTGTGTTTATATATTTTATTATTAAAAATGTGATTAAAAACAATCCTTCACGTAGAATAAATATTCTTTTATACAGTAAGATATATTTTTTAAAGTTTTGAAAAATACTGTTCTGGCCCACATTACCTTCTGTTAGGCTGGTGCAGTTAGGCTGGTGCCAGTGTAATTGCGGTTTTGCCGTTTACTTTCAATGGCAAAAACCGCGATTATTTTTGCACCAACCTTATAGCTGGTCTCTTTCTTCTCAAGGCAATCTATTCTCCATGTTTTTGCTACTCAAAGTATGGGCCAGTGCTGTCTGGACTTGTGCCGATTCTCAGGCTCCACCCAAGGCTAAATGAATTTGAATCTGCATTTTGCTAACATTCCCAGGTGATTCTATCACTTCAGAGTTTGAGAAGCACCCACCTGATGGGTTGCCAGAACGATTTTTTAAAGTATAAATAAAGAGATGTCTCTAATTGGCAAATATGCTTCAATGGCTTTCTATTGCTACTGGAATAAAATGCAAATTTAGGCTGTGGCATGCAAAGATCTGTATCATTCAACCCTCCCCTCTCCCTTCAGCTCTAAACTCTCTTTTCCTGGCTTTCTATGCAGCAAAAACACCGACCTCCTTTCAATTTTCTGAACTTGCTGTGTCCTTTTCCACATTTAGTCTAACTCTCTCAATCACCTGCAATGCTCTTCCCCCAAATCTTGGTGAGTCTCATTTTCATTCCTCAGGTCTCAGCTCAAATACCACTACCATAGAGAAAACCTGCTGACTTCTGCGGATCATCCTGACTAATGCAGCCATCATGGCCTTTGCCCTAACTCTATTACAACACCCTTGTTATTTTCATTACTGTAATAATCACAGTGTGCAGTTATATTGTCGGTCTACGTGTTTACTGTCAATGTGTTTATTGTCTATATCTCCACCCAGGATACAGGCTTTATGAGGTCGGGGGTATAGTTTGTTTAGTTGACAGCTTTATTCTTAGTGCTTACAATAATGACTGGCCTGTAATAGCCAGTCAAAGAATATTCACTGAATGATAAATGGATGGATATTATTTGGCCCTCCTCTTTCCTTTTTTCCTTCCTCTCAGTCTCACCCTAGCAACTTTGACCTTTTTGTGTGTTCTCTCTGCTTCATTATGTCGGGCAGCTCAGTTCTTTCTCACCCTTGTTCCCAGACTCAAAACCAGCCTTTCTGTGCTCAGTGAACTCTAGTCAAATAGTTAGATCCATTCAGGGTCTCAGCCTTTCCTCACTAAAGTGACCTCACTTTATCAGATGTGATCTGAAGCACTTAGTCAAATCTAAAGGCTAGTAACACATGATGAAATATCTAAATGGAAAAAAAAATACTTAAAACATGTTAGAAAGTATAAAAGTAACTTCTCAAGTCCAATAATTATGAGCTGAAGTCAAAGTTATAATTCAAATTACTGTAAGAGTAAAAGCCCCTCAGGAAACAAATTCAAATAAATAGCCGTGGTAGACATGTTATAGATTAGATTTTTAAAAGATCTGGTTTAAAGATATTTATGTTCAAAGGACTGGTTCATAATTACCCTGTTTTTGACCGTCTGTGTAGTGGCTATTAGGCTTCTCACAAGATTAATAGTCATTTGAGTTGGTAACACTAATTTCCCAGAAGGAGTCTTTACTTCATTAAAGTATATCATAAAATTGCTCAAGCATTTTATTGGAAGTGATGGTTAATTACCCATGGGGCTATATACATTACATCCTTCCAGACTAGTTTGGGGAAACTTATCTTTCTAACATGTAGTTCAAGCCTTTACTATAGTAGAGAAGAGTGTTATCAGTTCTTGGATTTTTTTCCTCTTCCTGCAAGCTAATAAGTGTGTTGTTTCATTGAGGTTGTCAGTAAAGACATGAGACTCCTTAGTCAGAGACAAAGGATTTTGTCACTTATGGCACAGCAAACAGCCTAAACATCAATATGTTCACTTCAGTTACACTTCCCTTAAGTCCCCAAAAGATGATATAGTGAGTGCTGATGAATAGTTTGCATGCAGTGGTGCTGTATCATAGCTGAGGAACTCTGAGCTTGGGAAATTTATAGCAACAGTAAACAGTAAGCCAGCTTGCTCTTTGTCATACAGGGAGGCATTACCTCATCCCTTAAGGTTGCTTGCTACAAGCCTAACTCTGAAAAGTGGTCCTTGTAGAGTGGTCATGGCTTTACACTATTGGCATACCCAGCAGGTCATGTAGGGGTATGACTCACGGTGGACTGTCTTTCAACACTATCCATTCCATGGTCCTATGTCATGTTAGCTGCTGGAAATTTTTCTTATGAGTAGTCCACTCCATCAGTCATTCTAATTAATTTGACTAGAGAGGTAGAGACTAAATGCATAGAATTTGTCTTACACAAGATTTAATTAAGGCTACTGTCAGTAGAACTCTAAGCATGAGGAGGAGACCATCCTGCAATAGCAACCTTAATCATGCCTCATAGGATCCTAGATTCTCCCAGCTATGAATAAGTCCCAAAGTACAGACAGCTAGGATATAGTGTATTATTTAATATGACCTACACATGGAAATTTAGACTGACATGCTGATCTTTGTTTTAATTGCCAAGAAGTTAACTATTATTCCCAATATAGAGATCTCGTATGGTCCCTATTTCCCAGACATGAACATAACCAAAGGTGCCAAGATTAATCCAGTTTGAAATTTATAGCTATATTTTATTTGGGTCAGCATTAGTTCACTTTGGTTAGGCTATATGAGCAGGGTCAGTGTGTATTTGCAAGTTCTGTAGCCATTCATGGTATAACCCAAGACTGTCCAGACACCAGGGGAAAAATACACATTTGTATGAGTCAGATTGAGAAAATGTTGTGCTGATTCCTGTATTTTCACACTTAAGAGGATAGGGAATCTGCATTGGGAAGCTGCCATTCATGTTGCAGAAATGTTCAGGAGAGGCTATATTCACAGGAGTTTTTCTGTTTTCATGGAATGTGGAAGAAGATGACAAACCAACAGACAACCAAACTATATTGTTGCCTTGCCAGGCTGTGTGCTTCATCTAGCATACAAAGAGAACATTAATCCTCACCCTCTTCACCTCCAATGGTCCAAGATTGTCCATTCCTAGGTGCCAGTGCTGTTGCTCTTTTTATCCACAATCACAAAATTTGTTCATCCCATTCTAGTAGTTAAGCTTTGCCTTTTTTTGTGGTCAATTCCTAGTCATACTCAAACCTTTTGTCTAGAACAATAAATAGAGGAAAAAGGTATTTTATGACTTTTATATATACCCATTTTATTTATCACCTGGGCCCTCGTGGACCATTGTACAATAATTCATAGAGCAGAACACTCAAATTAATGATAGTTAACCTCATAATATATGACCATGTTTATCCAACAAAATAATCCAGGTGGCTGAACCAGAATTCAGTTTTAACACCATTCTGACCATGTTGCTACCAGGAGAGTATACCTACCAGGCTGTTCTAAGGTTGCTGTTAGAAGAAAAAAAGAAGCATCATGCCTTCCACTTCTAGAAAGTTAGAGAAGGTGTACTTTTTTCCATTCATCTTGTTACATACAGCTAATGATTCTGGATATTACAGATGTTCCTTGACTTATAATGGGACTGCATTATAAGTTGAAAATACTGTAAGTAAAAAGTACATTTAATATATGCAGTATGCTGAACAACATAACTTAGCCTAGCCTATCTTAGATGTGCTCAGAACACTTACATTAGCCTATGGTTGGGCAAAACCATCCTTAACAAAGCCTATTCTATAATGAAGTGTTGAATATCTTACGTAATTTATTGAATATTGTACCAAAAGGGAAAAACAGAATAGTTGGATATGTACATAAAGTCCAGCTTTGACTGATTGTGTGCTGCTTTCATACCAGTGAAAAATTATAATTCAAAGCATTATAATCTCTACATAAAATTAAAAAATTAAAAGATTCTAAAAAGTGAGGAGAAAAAGCCCAACTGGTTAAGAAATTTAAGACCTGAGCAATGCTAAAGCAGTGAGTTCCATGAGTTTCCTTTTGCCTCATACAATCAGGAGTAGCCACCGACCTGGAAATGTTAGTGCAAATGTACAAAAAAGCCCAAAGACCAGCCTTTTACTTTCTTTAGCCAAAAGATCAGGAAAATAACAGACTGTCAAGACACAAAACTAAGGCCACAACCAGTTTCCTCCAGCCAAATACCACAGAAAGATTTACAGCTACCAAGCACATATTTAGTCAATAAAAAAGGAATTGCAACCTGGTAGGAGAATTTGTGTTATTTTTAACTTACCTTTGCTCCATCTTGTCATCACTGGCTTTAAGACAGTCTTTAAATTACATCCTCCATTCTAAGTGTGGGTTCCTGGTCCTGGAAGAAGCAGAGTGGACCTTGATATATCAAAGTAGTGCTTGATTACTTTGACCTCTCAGGTGGCTCATTGAAGGGCTAATTCAAAGGGCTAGACTGTGTTTCAAACAACTCAAAATCTCCCCAGGATGGAGAATTGGCAACAGAGAAAAGTTTTTTTCTAAAAAACAATTTGCTAAAGGGACTTAACAGCAGGTAGGAGAAAGAATCTACAAATGTGAAGATAAGCCAAATAAAATTATTCAGTCTAAGAAGCAGAAGGAAAAAAGAATGAAAAAATATATGCACAAGAGCTCAGATGACCTGTGGGACAACAAGCATAACAGAATTCCCAGAATGGGAGGAGAGGCAGAAAGATTCAGGAAAAATATTTGTGACATGATGACCCTAAACTCCTCAAATTTGACAGAAGACATGGATCTATACATCCAAGAAGTTCAACAAGAACTAAGTAGAATAAAGGCAAAAAAATTCACGGTGAGATACTTCATGATCAAACTGTTTAAAGAAAAAGGCAAATTGAGAACTTGAAAGCTTCAAGAGAGAAGCAACTAGCCACATGCAAGAGATCCTTAATAAGATTAGCAGTCAATTGCTCATCAGAAACCATGGAAACCAGAAGGCAGTAGGATGACATAAAGTGTTTAAAGAAAAAAGTTGTCAACCACCAATTTATATCTAGTAAAACTGTTGTTCTAAAACAAAGGAGAAATTAAGATAGCCCCAGATAAACAAAAACTGAGAGTATTCATCACTTGCAGACTTGCTCTATGAGAAAATCTAAAGGGAATCTTTCAGACAGAAAAGAAATGACGCTAGACACTTGGAGCCATACAAAATAACGAACAATGATTAAGGTAGTTACATAGATAAGAATAATGCCAATATTTTTGTAGTTTTTGTTTGTAACTCCCATTTTCCCCTAAAATTATTTAGCAAACTAATAGGTAAATAATAATTATAGATACATATTAATAGGAACACAATGGGTAAAGATGCTTGTGTTTTTGCATGTGTGTAAAAATCTTCTTTGTTGTTTTTCATAGTACAACTTACGTATTTCAAATGGACACCAAATTAGTAGCATTTGCAGTAGTATCTTAAAATAAATTGCCTTTGAATAAGATCTTGCTTTCAATACTTTGAGGTCCACAAGACATTTCTGGAAAATTTCATGCTGTGGAAAATGAAGACCACTTAATCCAGTGGAGAAGGGGACTGTGATTTCTCTTTGATTGATTGCCATAACACTGTCCTTAAGTCATATGAAGGAGAGTTTTATATGTTATCTAGACATTATTAGGCACAGAAGCTTTTGCAGTACAACTTTGATGTTGTATAAATTCTGTCTTTTGCTGGCACTGATATTGCTCTTAGGTACAACATTAGACCATTGACCCATACTATTTTTGTTACAAATATTCAAAAGGTGATTTCTTTCTATAAGGACTGTGCTTCAACTCAACATTCAATTTTAAAAGTTATATTTGTTGGCCAGGCGTGGTGGCTCACGCCTGTAATCTCAGCACTTTCGGAGGCCGAGGTGGGCGAATCTTGAGGTCAGGAGATCGAGACCATCCTGGCTAACACAGTGAAACCCCGTCTCTACTAAAAAATACAAAAAAATTAGCCGGGCGTGGTGGCGGGCACCTGTAGTCCCAGCTACTTGGGAGGCTGAGGCAGGAGAATGGCGTGAATCTGAGAGGCGGAGCTTACAGTGAGCCGAGATCAGCCACTGCACTCTGGCCTGGGCGACAGTGTGAGACTTCACCTCAAAAAAAAAAGTTATATTTGTTTTTTAAATTAATTTTCCAAGACTTTGGTGGCTGCCATCTTGGGTTGCTCCTTCTTTGGTTTCTACACTTACCGAGAAATGGCTTTTGTGATTTCTGCCTCTTGCAATGTACTCTTAGAGAAAGGGATTTCGATATTGGTATATTCTCTTTCATTCTATTTCCTGTGAAGTTGTTGGTGGGAATAGAAAAGGCCCCTCCAAGCCATCATTGATGGATACTGATCACATGGCCCTTGAGTAGAAAAGAGCCTGCATCCTTCATGACCTCCAGCCACCAGCTTCTGCAAGGAAACAAAGCATGTTATGAACAAGAGGAGGAACAGTAGTTGCTTGTGCTTCTTTCTCTGTAGACACAATTAAGTTTCTTGCATAGATAACCCTTCATAGTTCTGATTTTCTGTTTAGGTTGAGATGGGAAGGCAGAAAGAGACACCAAATTCATAACTTTTGGAAATTAATTTGAAGATATGAGCTTTTTACAAGAACAGCCATGAGAGAAACTAGAAAAATAAACGGTCACACAAGATGTCATTGAAAGTCTATATACTACTTCCTAAACATACTGCACGTGCTCACTTCCCAAGGGTAAGACGGTACTGCACATGCAGGCAGCCCACCCTAAGGGAAGAATCATGGGAAAGGAGGAAGGCTATAAAGTCCTAGGGTCAAGGTTAAACACTGCATTTTACCTCAGTAAAATGCTTGGCTCTCTTCCAAGTGTACCTTCCTTTCTTTCCTATTCTAAAGCCTTTTAAAATAAACTTCCACCCTTGCTCTGAAAAAAAAAAAAAAAAAAGAAAAGAGAGAAAGGCTATGTTCTGGCAGGTTTATCTCTATTACATCAACCCGTGTAAGTACTGTTTTGACATGCATGTGTCATTGGTGCAAAATGCAATGGCTATTTCCAAGCCCCTCTATTCCTGGGTCTTGTTAAAAAAATGTTGCTAAGGCTGTGAGCTAGAACCATATTTGTTCAGCTAGATTTTAGGTCATTCTGTTTTGAAAGAATTATTTTGAGTTAGAAGAAACTTCTCTAAAAATTGGAGATAACAGAATGGTATAGGGATGTGTGGCCTGACATGGAGAAGAGCTATGCAATGAGAAATACTCCTTGAATTGCAAGAATCTCACCCAAATTTTTATAATAGAATACTTCATGACTGCTATTTCAGTGTAGGAAAGTGGCTATTAGAAACAACTGCTCTTATTCATACAACAATTGACATTTGATATTATACACAAACAAACATAAACATCCCCACAGACATTAACTTGGAGCATTTACATTTGTTAAATTAAAAATTATCAAATTTTTAATTTAAAAATGTGTCAGATTTTTAAAATGACTTGTTCGCATAATAAGGCTCTACATTTTGAGTACATGTTTGATCACTGTCATGATTCCACAAGATGGCAGTGTGTTCTTAGGGACCTTGAGGAACGCTCTCAAGTGCTGGGGTGTGTGTGTGTGTGTGTGTGTGTGTGTGTGTGTGTGTGTGTGAGAGAGAGAGAGAGAGAGAGAGAGAGAGAGACAGGAGGAGGAGGAGGAGGAGGAGGAGGAGGAGGAAGGATGAGGGGAGGGGCTTAGTGGTGAATTAGGGGTGTTAAAAAGAGCATCATTTTTTCTAGCTGGTAAACAGATTCTTTTTTATGATTTTTAAGGTAGAAAAAGTAGAAATATCCATTCTAGGTTCATTTTTCTAAGGGTTTAAAATTTGAATCCTCAGTGAACCAGGGCAGAGAAGAATGATGAAATCCTTGAGAGTTTTACTAGTGATCCTGTGGCTTCAGTTGAGCTGTGAGTTTGGGGCATCCCTATATAGGAAAATAATGTATAGTATCCGGAGTTATTGTCTATTATAGGTCTATAGGTAGAAGCATGAATTTTTTTTTCTAACTAAGGGAGAGTGGGGGCACCAGTGAAAAGAGGATTTAAATTCTGGGGAGTAAGCATCTATTACCCAGCCAGTCTTCTCTGTCTGACCACTGCATTTTTTCACAGGGGTTTGGAGCCAACAGAAGGTGGAGCAGAATTCTGGACCCCTCAATGTTCCAGAGGGAGCCATTGCCTCTCTCAACTGCACTTATAGTGACCGTGGTTCTCAGTCCTTCTTCTGGTACAGACAATATTCTGGGCAAAGCCCTGAGTTGCTAATGTCCACATACTCAAGTGGTGACAAAGAAGATGGAAGATTTACAGCACAGCTCAATAAAGCCAGCCAGTATGTTTCTCTGCTCATCAGAGACTCCCAGCTCAGTGATTCAGCCACCTACCTCTGTGCCGTGAACACACAGTGCTCTCTAGACACTGGCAGTCTGTACCCAAACCTGCTATGCCCCAGGAATGCCTGATGTAGAGCTTAGACTGCAGGGTAGTGAAGTTCTCTTTGCTCTCTAGGTTCAAGTGGAAATGATAAGAACTAGTATGGAGGATTAATTAATTAGGGAAGTATTTTCATAATTCT